CAGCTACTCCTAACGTAACCTAACCTAACCTTTGCCGCCTGTTGCGGTAGGGCCTGTTGCTCTCCGGCCAGTTGTGCTCCGGCGCTGTGAAGTAGTGGCTGTTTTTTGCAAATCGGATTTACTGTTAGCCGGAGTTACCCACAGCTCATTGATCTGAGGTTGTGTGCAGCTATTGCATGCTGATGGTTGGCGTTGGGCCCAGGGCCTGTTTACGAGTCAATTTTGTTACCCACGGCTGCGCTCATCTCCCCGAGTCATATGCAGCCTAATGCAGGGTCGCCGGCGCATCTAAATTTTGTCATGGATGCGACCCAAATAGGGCTAAAATATTATAAATATATGCACTACAAAAATTGTGATAAAATATCGTGTCTTGCTCTCCCAGTATTTTTACGCGTACCTCAGTGGTGACTCAGCGAGCTGCTTAATGGTCTCGATCCTGACGGGGTAGAGCGGGACTGTGAGGAACGCAATGAGGTTTCCGTTGTACGCCGCGATGAAAACAACGCACCCCATGTACCAGACTGCCATCCACACTCGCCGCCACTCGCCCACTCCAAATGTGGACAAATTCATGGATTGTGCCACCAGAGCACCTGCGACCTGTCATAGATAAGATCAACATTATTAAGGTTGCACACACTTAAGACTAAAACCATTATTTCATTTTTAAGTGCATATTGTATTTGGTATCACCTACACGCAGTCAATTTAATATTCGGAACGTAAAAATTCAATTTGGTTATTCTCATCTTGAATGTTAATTAGTAAATGCATTGAAAAATAACCGCCCAAATATCTGGAATGATGCAAAGTTTTGTTTCTGCATAACTAATCAAATCATTATTTCAAAATCGGTGCCCTGCTCCCAGGCTGAATAAATTAGTCATCCTGCGACTACTGCTCGAAAAAATATTGTGGTAAATATTGGTAAAGGTTTTAGTCTTGGTGTAATATCGCAAGCTTTTGTGTTTTTGCTATAATTTTTGGTGTTATTCGTACTCAACAACGTGCTAACGAGCGACTTATATCTGCTCTCTCGTCTTCTAGCTATAGATAACGTGTTAAGGTAAAAACTTCTGCGAATCCCACACGTAACTAAAATTTAAATATACACGAATGAGAGTAGTGTAAACCGACTTTAAGCCAGACTACTAATTTGAAACAAATTTGATTTGAAATTGAAATCGAATAATTTAAAGTCGTATGTGTGGCGTTGTACTGTGAGACTCTCACAAGGAAAATCGAGAAATTCGTCTGAAAATAGACCTCTCCTTTCACACCGAAACTTGAAAATTGGATTAATTTTATGTCAGAGCGTGTACTGATTCTTACCAGAAGCAACGCTTTACTGATCTGAAGTTCTGAAGAATCATCCCCAACGTCTATGCGAGTTAGGATCGGGAACATCACAGCGACCAGCAGGGTTACAACACCGATGCTGATCCACGTAACTCGAGCGTAGGGGTAAAGGACGGACTTCCACTTCGGCAGAGGCTTGGGAAGACGGGCCATGAACGCAAACGCTTCGGCCTGATGCGGATACGTCGAATCAAATGCAATGTATCGATCAAGGACTATCGTGAAGTAATTGATTGTAATATTTTTTCCATGATAGGCTATTTCGGCCAACATTCCAGTCCACGTTCCGTTTTCAATTGATCCCCACAAACAATCAAAAGGTTCCATTTCCAAATTATAAGTAAAATTCAAATGAGAACTCACGATATCCAAAGCGTCTATGTTAGAACCTACGCATGTGTCATTGTGAGGGTAAGGCAGAGCGTAAAGCTGAGGATAATCATCGCACCAGGATGCGAGTTGCAGAACGCTTCCAGAAAATGTTGCAAAACGATCAATGAATAATGACTCTTCTTTCTCAAAGCTTTGCACTGTCCATCGTCCGAGCAGTCTGAGGGAATTTCTTTGTAGGGGAAAAGTCGTATAAACCAAGATTGTCTCAAAAGTTTTACTCGGTGTAATAATAACTGCAAATTTCGAACATTGTATTGCTTTGGTATCAATGAGTTTAGATAATTCTACGTCAGCGCTCAGGCTCAATACTACGAGTTTTTGTGGACACCACAGAGATGGCTTCTCTATTAGCTTGTCAATTTTAAAATCGTTTGAATCAATGAGCCAAATGACGGAAAAGTTCTTCCCGGAGTAAGTCTTTAACGGAAACTTCGTGGAATCGAACTCGTCTGCAGAAGTTTGTATAACAGCAGAGTCCAAAGTTTGCACTTCGTTCCAATAGACGTTAGAAGAATGAGTGTCATCAAAGATGAAGAGATCGTAGCCTTTGAGAGGACCGTCGAGCAGTTCTTGCAGCACCAAAGTTCCTTGAGCAGACCCGGGCAGTGAGACGCTGGACAAAACATTTGAATTGGACGTTACAAAAGGCCATAAGAAGACGAGGGGGAAAACAAAACTGAAAACTGTCAAGTGAATCCCGAGTCTCGATTCCGTTGACATTTTCGTAATAGTAAACTCCTTATATATGGTTTATTATGATTCCAAGAGTCAAATTACATAGCCGAGGTTATATCCGAGAGTTTATAAGTAAGATTGTCGGTACACTGCTGGCCAAGGCACTCCTAAGGCCACCGCCCTGAGGAGTATGAGCTGCCGAACATACACTCGCTTCCATAAAGGCTTCACTGGGCACGTTATTCACATTTAATGGGCTCGGAGGCGTGCATTATTGAGTGTTGACTACGCGCTTCCTGGCCTGACCTCATATTTATTGGATGTTTGGGATAAAGTTTCATGATATGAGACGTTCATAACATTCAGCTCACTAATGTGCCCGATGCATATTTAATTTCGGCAATCTCGATTTTAATTACACGCATTCAATGGGAGTAACACGAGGATAAAATGAGTGTAAAGTAAGTACTTGGTCTTGCAAGACGTCCTTATTTATAAACTTTATCAGCTTACTGAAATTACGATGTTTTTAAATTTATGTGTAATATGAATAAGATAACTCTACGGAGATTTTGACCATAAAGGGCATAATTTGTTATCAAACATGTCTTCATGAAGGGATTTGGTCTAAATATACCAATTTGGTTACGTAGACTCAATGAGCTGAGACTCCACTTTCCATCATTACTGGTATCATAAGGTTTCAAGAAGGAATAATTAAATAAACAAATATAAATTTTCGATATGCGTTTCTCTTAAATTTATAATTTAATAATGGCTTAACACATTTTTAGAGTCTCCATGCACATTTTTATAAATACATGGTGCTCTTAATCAAACATGAGATAGCGCATTTTAATGATACAAAGTTCACATTAGAGGTAAAACTACATTCAACTTATGAAAGAAAACCACATGGATATGGCATTTACTTTGATAGGCTTTTATTAGAGAGTAGATTAATAAATCATTTCTCCCGTCAAAGAACCGTGAACAACAACTATCATCTGCTGAACTCGCTATGCCTGTAGACTGCACTGAGATATTAGAAAGCATTTTATATCATGACCTTTTCAGGCATAATCTTGAAAAGATTCATAATATTCGTCAATATTAAATTATATCTTTAGCTGATGAGCGGGTTGAAGCAAAGAATCGTTCTGTGCATTTAAATTCTGTACAATATTGGAGATAATTTGATGGATTAGGACCCCTAAAGTAGATCATTTTGATTAATTTTTGGGAATGATGAGTTTGTGAAGAAAATTTTTAGTAGGAAGGTTATATTCAAATAGACTGCAATTTGACTAAAAAGTACAATAATGTTTGTGCAACTGGAAAATCTGTAGGTGAAGTCATAAAATATTTCAGCGAATTCATACCTTAGTCTACCCTAGACATTCTCGTCAACTTACTTTTAAAAAATTTCGTCCAGCTATTTGAACTCGTGTATGATCCGCTTAATAATTTTCAGTATATTTTTGTTCCATATTGATCTTTCATTATTAATAAGGATTTTGGAAGTCTACCACGGAAGGAATCTCGGCAGGTTGGATAAAGTAGTATGGATAAAGTAGTATGTAAGGTAGTGGATTACAGAAAGGTTTGGGTATCTGCTAGGAATTTGAACAAAACGAATGTTTCATGCAAACCTGTAGCGCCTCGACTGCATGGGCAGCTTCCTTGTCAACACTATTATGCAAAAATTTGAATCATTGCAGTCATTTAATGTAAAGGCTACGCTCGCACAATAACCAGGATTCGCGTGTGCAAAGTTCGATCGATCATTCATAGCACAGAGCCAATCTATGTTGCAAAAAAATTAGTGATAGCGAAGGCTTATTTCCAGTAATAGCCACTAACCATGCGAGAGTTTCTGAAATTCTGTAAATTTGGATTAATTCTCCTGAATGTTACCTGATGTTTTTAAATATTTCTTTATTTCTATACCGAATATGGTAAATTAGACTACAGTTAACATTCCAGCTCGGCTGAAATTCGTCACTTATATTCTGTAATACGAGAATGAAATTTGTCACAGGTAGAGAACCCTCTGTATAAATTCATACGCGATAATTATAGGTGAAGGCACTCTACAATTCAAAATTTTTCTTCATCTAAATAAAGCGAAAATAGCCGTAAATAAAACTTGAACGCCAGGTGCATATAACAAATTACAATATGTAGCCGTCATTTTCCCTTTTTCTGAAACTTGTAGCAGTAGAATTAGCCTACTCGACGCAGTTGATTTCACAAGCGTCACAGCACTCATTGTTAGCCCTTGATTACGGATGCCTGCACTACCAGGGGAACCAAGCTATTCGGTTCGTTTGATTTATCGTTTGTTTTCGTGAATTATTGATTATCCTGTTTAATTATTGTCTTATCTTGGTTCATATATTATTTCATGTAATTAGCATATCATTTTTTCTTGTATAATTATCTTATGTATATTTGTTATTTTCTTTCTAGAAACCGTACATCATGGAACACTCGTTTTTTATCCTGCTATGATGGCGCGTCTTTGAATAGTTCGCTAAACGTTCTCAAAGGACTAGGCAACAAGAAAGTCCTTTTCACAATATATTTTCTAAAAATAGTAGATTGATTGATGAAATCAACATGCGACAGAAGCAAAATTTAGGTGCGGACAGAAAGAGCTTTTTTGAACAATGTTTTCTATCCAGTGTCAATAAGGATTGACACTGGATATTTCAGCCGTAAACCTCACTCATGATATGAATGAAGAATGAAGAAGAATGTTTGTAATCATATTTATCTACTTCCGGAAAGTTAGGTGAATTTATTAGTAAATTATTACAGCATTATGTATAAATACCACATAACCAAATATCAGTATTTATTTGGCTATTTATTTATTATAGAAGTGGATGCGGTTTGCATAATCGACATCATATTGCTTAGTGAGTAGAGATATTATTTTTTTGGTCAAATATAGAATTTTTGCTGCATCACATCCGTACTGATGTCTCGTCACTTGCAACGCATCTCCTTCACGAAGTCAGGCAAGAGCAACAGAGAGGCAGGCGACAAGCGGCTACAGTGGAAGCGGTCTTCTCCAGGCTGCGGCTGCTTCACAGTGAGCTCATAGACCGCCTCGTCGTCTTTGACTTCGGTTTTGGCCCATTGCAGGAATTCGCTCAGACTATTTTCCATCTTGTCCGGTGAGAAATCAATTTTATTTTTGAACTTCTGAAAAGACACGTGCATGGCGTGAGAGGATCGAATTAGAAATGTTATGGGACTAAACTTTACTTGGAACAATCAGAGCTCAGTAGATCATTCCCATGTACACATTGATTTGTGGCTCTTTCAGGTCATGACTATTCCCAGTCGTGCTTGATTGACAGTTACGTGTTCGTAGCTACCTGAGGTGTAAATGGCTCCTAGCTGGTACAAGGGTACATGATAATAGAGTTTCTCAAGCTTTATATTCCAAACAGCAAACACTTTCACTTCTGGCTAAAGGATGCAATTAAATGATAGCGAAAAACTTCCATGAACACGCAGTTGCGACGAACACGTTCGCCTAGCAACTTCACAGCTGCGTGTTTCTAGAAGTTTTTTTTTGTGAATGAAATAGCGCCACATTTTGGCCCAGAAGATTTCGAGTCACATTATTCATCAAAGACATAAAAATTACAATGAATCATTACGATGCAGAAACCGTTGAGTAAGGTTTTCCCTGGAAAACGCGGTTCTTACCTGACAATAACAACAGACCTCACAAAAAATGTTCTCACCTTCTGCAAATCAGGCAGATCCTTCACGCGGAAGGAGCGTATGCGCCTCACGACGCCGCTGCCATCCCGGAAACCGCAAACCACACGCTGGATGCCCACCGGCCAGCACTGCGCCCACGTGTCGCGCATTTTGTACGGATTCAGAGATTGTTCCATGGCATCGAACTTCAGCATGCCCGTTTTGAGCTCGATCAACTTGGATAAGTTGGGGAGCCGATCGACTTTGTAGAACTCCTTGATCACCCCGTCTGCCTCAGCTTCGTACAAAAGGGTGTGGTTTGCCAGTTCGGCTTGGACGATGACATAGTACGATTTATTCTCGTCGTTTCCAGTGGAAGGATCTGCGCCTGAATAAAACGTTATATTCTCATTTTGTGTTCTGGTCAAGTACGCATGGTTCAATCGTAAAAGATGTGAGAATAAAGAAATATTTAGAGTTTTTAACTCGTTATATGAAAACGGTGCGGCGTGATAAGGTATAATACATTATGGTAGCATACCTCAAGCGCAGTCGACGGTTTTTACTCTGAAAGGTAGCTTACTATATACTGGTGATAGCTATTTTATACTGCCGCTGAAGGTTTACTCATGGGCGAATTGAAGAGTAAAAATAAAATTTGTGATCTACGGCTAAGCCCCCAAAGCAATTCAGTTCAACTCAGTCCTTTTGGTCGTCATTCCATTGATCAAACCTGTCACATGAGGTGCAACTTGAGCCATGTTATTTCAGAAAAAATTGTGTACTTCTCATACAGCCAAATCACATCTTACCGTACGTCATGAATTGCTCGAACTTGAAACCATAGGAACTGTTCTTCTGCTGTTCTTCGCTGGCGTTCTCTTGTTCTTGCATCTCCTTCTTGGAGGGCACACGGATCAGAAAAATTGTCTCGCCAATCCTGTAATGCAATAAGTTCAATTTTGAAAATTTTATGATCAAGCTAAAAATGAATACTATTCCTTCAACTGACTACCAGCTAAAATAGACAAAGAATAACCTGTGTGATCGAATATAATGGACCCCACTATATTGAATCTATCAAATTAAAATATATCAAGCTGTTACATAAACAATTCTAGAAAACACTCACTCAGGGCATTTTTGATAATAAAAAAAAGTATGTCTTAGTTGAAGATTATACGCTCAAGTTATTTGGATGCGAGTAAACTTCAATATCTAATTACGACAGGGAATTATCCAACTCTAATATATTCTAATATTATCGTCGTATTTATCGAGTTATTTATATTGAACGAAGAAATTTTTCTTCTTCTTTTCATTCTGAAAAATGTGAAAATAGTATCAATTTTGATATCTGAGCAACAACTTTTCATGCGGATTATTTAATTATTGAGAATAGCTAGAGGTGATGCTTCGTTTGTAGCAATGGGCAGATGATTGATAATTTGGCAGATGCATGGACACGACGTAGTCTCAAGCTCTAAGCGGGGGATGTGATGAGTCTTTGTGGGAGGAGATTCCGCGTGGCCATTTGACCGCAATAGGGTTTTAATGCAAAGAGATTAGTCAAGCGACTGAAAATGACAGAGTTGGGTTGCCTGGGTTTTTAGAGAAGTTAGTGTTAACAGGGCAGCTGTTTCTTTACCTACTTATTCCATATCTTCCCAATTACCGTTCCTTGCGATCCGTGAGATGGACAATATGCAAAATAAATTCTTAAAATACAGAATTTGTCTTGTGCCTACAGTGGTCTGCTTGGCTTAGTCTCTATAAAACAATCCTGAATATTACAGAAACAGAGGTCAATAAAATAAAAATCTGGCCTTTCGTTCATGCGTCCAGGAGGGACCTCCCTAAAAGAACCTTTGAAACAATCGAAAGAGTGGTTCATTCACGGCTTCATCTCATTCTATACTAACTTCCTATGTTGAACTCCGCTTACATGCAACCGTTATTTTCCAATCTCCGCTCTAGTAAACCGATTAGTCTTGGTGGCATGCAGTGCAATTGGTACTCACTTGGTGGCATGCAGTGCAATTGGTACTCACTTGGTGGCATACAGTACAATTGGTACTCACTTAGTGGCATGCAGTACAAGGTGTTCTTCCTGCGGGTAAATGGAAGTAAGAAGTCGTCGCATCACGCGGCGGCTCGTCACGAAGTTAGGCTTTGCATTCATGCACTCCGGGTGCTCCAAGATCCATTGCTGCAGTTTCTTCAGTCTGTCATTGAAATGATTCTTCATATTCTTACGCTGCACCTTATCCATTGCCATGTTCAGGTCCATTGGTGTCTTCAACTAATTAGGGAAAATGTGAATTAAAACATTTTCATAATTTTGTAATGGGACTTGACCTATATATGGATGCTTATGCACTCATGACTTCCATCAAGTTGATGTTCAAATTTGGAGTGCCATTGTAGCCAGAGCTTTTTTTATGCAAATTAGGTTTCACGTACCGATGTTTTTATCGTACGCAAGCATGCTTCTCTACTCTCCGATTATCATGGTCATGCATATAAACTGGAAATTATAGTGAGAGCAGTCGAGAAATATCAGAATATCATTAGACCCTTTTCTGATACTTCTTTCGATGTTTTGATGATATCTCGTCAAAATCTAAAAATTATTTTCAATAAATTTTTTAGAGTGAAGTAAATTTATGACATGGGCTTTGCAGATATATCATGAACGAAGTTATGTAGAGATGTTATGAACGATATTATATAGAGATATTATTGACGATGTTAAACCTTATACCTCTTATCTATAGCCAAAGCAATTCATTTGCAGATGAATTATGGTGACAATTAAAAGTACCAAGACTGGGCAGTGAGCTATATATACTGTATATTATATGGGTTCGATCCCAGCTATCAGCGATAGTTCTGGTCAAATTGCCGAGGAGGCCAAGCGGTAAGTTACAGAGAAATTGAAGCTATAAGTTACGTGTACTAGACCGCAAAAGGCTGTGAATATTCTGCAATATTAAGAATCGGCTACAGGTCAAACGGCTAATGCAAGCTGTCACCACTATTAATTTAGTCATTGGCATATGTCCATTCGAAAGATGATGGTTGCGCCACGTCTGTCACCGCACAACTACAGTAGCTGTTGGCAGCGCTTCGAAAGGCTTGTCATGCCGATTCAGGCATGGCAGTTTCGCAGTTCTCGAAGATGAAGCCTGATGGTGCGAATATGTTCTGTGCCTGCTGTCTAGCTTTCCGGAGACGACACTTGTTTTCAAGCCTCCGATTGCGTAGCTCATCGCCCCTCCGGACACCCTCCCAAACAGCCCGTCGCCAACCGCGTCGGTTGTCTGCAAGCTGCTCCCAGGTTTGGGGGTCGATATTTGCTGTTTTGAGGCTGCACTTGCAGACATCTTCGAAACGCAGTGCTGGGCGGCCGGTCGGGCGCGCGCCTGGGGCTAGTTCTCCATAGAGCAGGTCCTTGGGAATGCGACCGTCCCGCATGCGATGCTCGTGTGTTTGCGACCTTGTCTTCGCATGTGATGTGAAGGATGCGGCGGAGGCAGCGAAGGTGGAAGCACTCTAGGTGAATTTCCTGTTTAGCGTACGTCGTCCAGGATTCGCCGCCGTAAATACGGGCACTAAGGACGCATGCGTGGTACACTTTAATCTTAGTGTGAAGCGTCACCTGCTTGTTTGACCACACCCGTTCGTTCAGTCTGGCCATCACACCAGACGCTTTGGCAATCCTCTGGACAATCTCGCTGTCGAGGGACATGTTGTTGCTGATGGGGAGCCCAGGTTGGTGAAATGCTCGGTGACTCAGAGTTGTTAATCGTCATAGGTGAGTGATAGATGGGGGCGCCAATACGTCCTGACCCTTGACGTTGGTTTTCCTGATGCTGATAGACAGGCTGAACTCCCTGCAAGCGTTGGCAAAGCAGTCCATCGGCCTTTGAAGATCCTCTTCGGTATGGGAAGAGAGAGCTGCATCATTAGCAAAAAGCAACTCACTGATGAGAACAGTGTGGACCTTTGTCTTTGCTCTCAGACGAGCCAAATTGAAAATTTTGTCATCGCTTTTGGTATGTAGATGAATGTGTGTGGAGTGGAGTCCCTAAACGCAATCTTGAGCAACAGTGAAAAGAAGATGCCGAAGGGAGTAGGGGCCAAGACACAACCCTGCCTAACCCCGCTTTTGATACTAAAGGGCTCTGACGTATTGCCATCGTAGCTTACTACGCCTTGCATGTCGACGTGGAAGGAGGAGTTGATGCTGAGAAGACCAGGGGGGGGGGGGGGCAACCTATCTTTCCCAGCAACAAGAACAGACCTCTACAGCTGACTAGAATTAAACGCCTCTGTCAGGTCGATGAACGCAATGTACAAAGGTCTCCGTTGCTTTCGACATTTACCCCGCAGCTGGCGGAAGGAAAAAATCATGTCTGCTGTGGACCTCTGGTCCCTGGAACCACCCTATACTTTCGAGTATACACGATCAGCAAGGGCTTGTAGGTGACCGAGCACTACACGGGCGAAGACCTTGCCCCCAGTGCTGAGTAGCGATATCCCTCTGTAGTTGTTGCAATAGCTTCGGTCGCCTTTATTTTTGCACAAAGAGACAATCTTTGTGTCGTGCATGTCTTGCGGTACCTGGCCTTCTCTCCAGCAAAGACATAAGAGCTCGTGAAGGGGGCTCTAAGGGTTTCCCATCCTCTCCAGCAGCCCTCCCACAGGAAAGTTCGTCGATGGCTTTGTTTAACTCTTGCACCGAGGGTTCAGCATCCAGAGCTTCGATGGCAGGCAAGTCCTCAGTAGCGTCCAGCGCTTCCTGTGAGACGCTGTTAGCATTAGAGTAAAGGTCGAGATGGTGTTCTACCCATCTGCTTAGACTTGCTGAAAATGGGCTCACCCGACCTAGACCTCAGTAGTACCGCTTTTGCCACTCGTCTCCCAGTCGCTCGCTTGATCCCCTCAAACATCCCCCTAACATTGCCAGAGTCTGAGGTCTGCTGGATGCTGTCTGACAGTTGCAGCCAGTAGCTGTTTGCGCAGCGGCGAACCATTTGTTGGGCCTGTTTTCGAGCCGTTCGTAGTTCCGCTGACTTGAGTCACTTTTATACCGAAGCATCGCTCTACTTTTCCTGTCGATGACTGGTTCCAACTCACCGATGTTGGCCTCAAACCAGTCAGCACTTTTGCGCTCCTTTGAGCCGTATGCCATGAGAGCAGTCGTAGATGGCGCTCCGTAGTGAGCGCCACCCATCGACTGAACGCTGTGCCCATACATTCGCCAGCGAGCAAGTCGGCAAGATGCTCGACTAGAATTTGGTTTCTTGTGGGACAGGAAGCCTTGATGGCATCAATTCTTGGCGGGCACTTCCTCTTGATGGTGTGTAATACCTTTGGTCGAATTTTGATGTTCGATATTACCAATGAATGGTCACTGCAGCGGTCAGCGCTGTGGTACACTCTTGTGTTGCGCACGCTGTTCAGAGTCGCCTGGTGTGATAATCAAGTCCAGCTGGCGCCAGTGCTTTGATCTCGGATGTATCCAGAATGCATTGTGGCACAGCTTGTTCTCTAAAAACGGGTTCGTCACGCACATGTTGCGGTAGCAGCAGAATTCTAGCAACCTCTGACACTTTTTATTTCATCTTCCCAATGGCAACGCTATACTATACCATTATACCTTGAAGTACGAACTAAGTTTTGAGTAATTACGAGCCTTGAAATGCGTGTCGTTAATAGGGGAAATTTTGATTTTTAATTACTATCCATATTCTATTCACAAGTTACTTTACCTTTTTTTCGGACGCTTCGTCCCAGTCTATGACGATCTGTGCGCAGTTTCTTCCATCAAAATCCTGGATCTCACCAGTCATAGAATAGTGCCCGATGATTGTAGGGGAGAAGAGCACGGACGAACTGCACGTCAAATACGCAGGATACGTAAATTAGGAGCCTAATGCGTACAATTAAGGGTATCAGCAAGCTGCTGATACATTTCCACACATATTCATGAGAATACCATCCCGCCATGCTATATATTGCCATCGATTCGCAGTTGATCGTGTGGTTATAAAGAATGGGACTTCCTTTTTATTCTTTGAGTGCTTCGATGATAAAATCGTCTACTTCGTAGTTTTGTGGCGCGGTGATGAATAATTTGAGTAATCATTCTGTTCAATTTATTTATCACTAATTTCTGGGATGTTTTTGATACAAAGATCGCAGTAGACAACAAAGGCTTCAAGATTTCTTCAACGATATAAATGGTCTGATTGTGTTGACTTAAACCATGTCCTCCGACGTGAAGCAAACCTATACATTTCATACATAATTTCAGACATCACCCAGCTTTATTCTCATACGTTTGTTAATGCAGCTACAGTAAGTCAAAGTGACGGTATAAATTTTGTAACAAAAAAAAAAAAAACTAAAATTTTTAGAAGTGTTTATGTTTCTGAAATTCTCGTCTAACAGAGCTAAGCAAATGGCCAGCAATTACAACGAGAGATTCACCCATGGTAATCATTTAATTAATTTGACCACCGATGGAGGCAGGATCTTTTGACCACTTCAAGAGTTCAATATCAAATTTACGTCAAGAAATGGCAGGTCGATGAGCAGGCTAATATCAATGTTCTTTACTTCATAGGGATAGATTAGATAGGGGTAAAAGAGCGATATTGTTAACCGGATATACAAGGATCCGAGACTATCCATGGATCGAAGTTTTACCCTTCAAACGTCTCCTAATGGGATTCTTCAACGACTCAGCGAGTTAGGGAGCTACCGTTCACCTCTTTGTCAATTTCAACAACTCTTTGCCAGCAACTGAGTTATTTTCTAGAATCACGTTTTTTTCTTTAATTATACATTACCTAGCCAATAATTCATCAGGTGAAGCATTAAAAACTCTGATCTCCTAGAAGACATTTATTAACAGTAGCTTGACTGCCGCATGAACTTGTAGGAATAAATACCGTTACGAGTTTCCACATCATCATTCTTGTCTTACAAGTTATCCGAGAAGAACTCATAGGTTCGTTAAGTTTAGGAACATCTTTTGCAAGTAATATACTCTTAATTGCAATCTATAGACACTACGAAATTACACATTATTTACTTCTGTCTATATATAGCAGTAGAAAGTGGCATATATACATAGCAGCTGAAATTATATAAGTGCTGCAGAAAGTGGCTGTCATAAACCTTCTGTCACACAGCCTTAGGCTTACTGGATTAATTCAAATCGTCACCAACTCTAAGGATTAGAAAATAACTGGATTAATTTGAATCTACTCTAAGGAATAGAAAATAACTGGATTAATTTGAATCTTCATCAACTCTGAGGATTAGAAAATAACTGGATTAACTTGAATCGTCATCAACTTTAACGATTAGAAAATAACTGGATTAATTAGAATCGTTATCAACTCTAAGAATTAGAAAATAACTGGATTAATTTGAATCGTCATCAACTCTAAGGATTAGAAAATGTCTGGATTAATTCGAATCGTCATCAACTCTAAGGATTAGAAAATAACCCATCAAAACTCAATCAAAACACGGACTAGAGGATTTTAGAATTTAACCTTTGGCATGGTTCGAGTAGCCATTCTAACCACGATAAAAGTTATATCTAGCCCTCTTGCATCAGTAATTTGAAAACTTACGGTGAATTCAGTTAAACAGCGGTGGGGCCAAAAAGCATCATACTACGATAGGTAAAGTACCAAACTGGATGCGGATTCCAATATGAATATGACGCAGCGGACCGGTCTCTTTCGCTTTGGGCTAGACATATTCTGCATTTGCGGCAGACATATTATTGTACATCAATTTGTTCTCGTTAAATATAAGAACTATCGGATTACAGATCATGGCCGTATAACCAGGAGCAGAAAAGTGACGCTGAGATCGTACGTGAGAGTGTAGCGCTGCTGTGATGTATGTAGATCGTTGAAGTTTACCATACAATCATTATAGGTATGTATATTTGACTGACCTGAGCGATTTTAATTGTTAGGAATTTATTCATGTTAATTGGTTTGCCATGATTTATAAAGTTGCTGGTCAATAGACGTGTGAATACCTACGTATCGTGTATGAATTTCTTGTAATTAAAACAAATTCACTGTTCGAAACAGAGAATGACAAATTTAGACGCCTCTTATAGTACTTAAGAATGAAATTTCGCAGCAAACTGAAGTTCCGCAAGATCAAGTTTGGCATAATATCAGTTTTTTTAACTTTCTGAAAAAAAGTTCTAATGCAACTAATTTTCATATACAAATCTAATTCTCTTTTATTGCGCGACTCCAATAAAGAGTGCATGAGCCAGACAAGCTCTGCGTGAAGTATCTATCCAAAACATAATTTTGTAACAAGACCATTTGCGGTTATGGGAAGTCTATAAGACGGTTTAATAGCCGAAATAGAAATTAAAGTCAAATATGGACAACACGGAGAGAATAACACAAATCTTTCTATTTTAGATAATTCATTTTTGAAAGTGGAAAAGGTCCAACAAAGTTTGAGTTCGCGAAATCTTTTAAATTTTGAGTCATTACATGATGAGATGTCAAAATTGAGCTCGAACGATCAATCCGATTTCGATCGAATTAAAGTAAATATATTACCTGTTCTCAGTCCCAGACGGAGATGCCATCGCTGATGATCAATCAATGCTCCACAAAGTTTATCTGAAACATAAAGTCAGCGATTCAATTTATTTAAAACTATTGCAAATGGCGAAGTCAATTTTACGCCATATGAGTTTAAATATTTCAATACCGTGTTATCGCCTTACTTTCGCATTCGGTTCTTGTTATTCTATTGACGGGCAAAACGAAAACGCACTTGTTTGAAAGACGCCTAGCAGAGCTGATAACATAAATTTTCAGATAGTCTTTACTGTATAAACTATTATAAAGATGTAACGATTTCCCTAAAGTAGATTCCCACTTCAAGCGCAATCCGAACCAAAAGCGTCGCATAAAATTCTCAAGCCATCAGAATAAGGAATAATTTCCCAGAGAGCATATTTTTTTGGCATATATAACCTCGACGTTCACCGAGTCACACTGACACACATACAAAACAAGCGGTCGTTGACTCGTTGTGTAGTGTGTACTGGCTGTAGAATAAACGACGATCGGGCGATTGATGTAAAATGACGTCATAAATTATCACTCATACAGATGGCCAGACCGCTTTTAGATTTGATAAGAAAATTTACACGAATACTCTCGGCTTGCTTTGATGCCAAAGGGTAAAAGAGTTGGCAACTTTGTGCCATAAAGCTTCCATCCAACACCAGGCGCATCCCGATGGACGAAGATGTACTAACGAAACGACGCCACATCATAACATAACTTAGTGATGTCGGCGCTGAAAAATACGACCTGATGTGGCCTGCATGTCGCCGATTCTTGTACTTTTCGTGACTTGTTCACAGAAGATCTAAAATCACGTCCTTTTACAGGATCTTTTCAAAACTGACGATAGTTAGAATTAGCTACTAGACTTTGACCGGGTTCGATGTGGTGCAGATGAAAAGTGGTGCAATAACTGCAATCATTGCTTAAGAGTGACCGGCATTATTTGGCATATTCTCCTTCCAGGACTCCTCAATAGACATAGTTTGTGATTACTGCTAAGCAAGGCGAGATGATCACCGTACTGACCGTAGTTTAGTTAATAATTATGAGCACCTCTTTCTTCTCCCAGGATACAATCGACAAATTCGGAACCTTGTTTGGCGAGTTTTTGGTGTGTTTGGCGAATGATAAGAATGCATCCTGAACAAATTTCTGAATTAGCTAAAATATTAAATTGAGAATTAATCAGGCTGTAGCGTCGAAACGAGCCTCATGTCATAGTTGATCTCACTGAACTTCTACATGAATATGAATTTTCAAAAGTTCTAATTTTTTTTACTTTTGCTGACAAAAAATATGTTTAAAATGCAGCCTAGTGATAAATTGAGCCCAGAATATCATTAAATAAATGACGACAGATTTATCAAATAGGCCACTTTTGATCAAGTTATTAGTCCAGAAAAAATAAAATCTAAGTTCTGTGGAACTCTCGACTCGACAGGATGAGCGAAACGATTAGGTATTTTAGCCGACCACGTGTGACGTGGCTGCATGAATTTTAAGTAGTTAGCTAGTTTTATTATGGATCTAATGAATTTAAATTTCATGTTTACAATAAATTTAGGAATTAAATTAACACAGTAACTATATAGACACACAATAAACTTAATTTGTGGATCTGTACCTATAAATTTACAGCACCACAGCACCGATAATGACGCAACTAGTCTCGACTGCAATTGAACACGGACTGCCTAAGCTTTGCTCGTCGGAAGTTCGGATGCATGCATGGAGCACTGCGTTTCACTGAGGCATAAAATTGCAGTCCGGAAAGGCGTGTCATATTCTCACGCGAGGTCTTGGTGTTCTAGGGCCGAACGCATCACTCATAGCTGCCGATTGAACTGGTACTAGAGTGAACAAAGATTAATTTGTCTTTCAATGAGTTTTACTGAATTCAACGCAAGATTTGTAACACGCACAGTGCAATGGGTTAACAGTCGCTTATGTGTCTGCAGTGGAAAGCATTTTAAAAATATAAATAAATTAGAGAATAAAATCCCAAAGAAGTATCTTAAGAGAAATATTCTCGAATTAATTGATGTTAATACGACTGCAACTAAAGTTATAGGACAGGCCGAAAATTTTTTGGCTTTCATTGTATTCGTTTTTGGCTGCCATTGTATTCACAGTTATTTTTTAACCATCAAATTGCTCAGGCAAGTGCGAGTCTATGCCTGTTATCCTGATCATATATTACAAAAGTGAATTAGTTATAGAGACTGAAACTAACGTAACTGCTCTCTCTGAAAATAGATCATATATTCGCCATTTTGCGGAACAAACTCTATCAGGATGACAAACACAAGGTAAAAAATGTCATGAACATTTACACAGCGACCCGCTTATTTCCATTTGGTTCATAATGATCTGAAGGATCTGTTGTGAGTGTCACGGAGATTGCACGGAACATATTTTCAGTCGTTAGTTGGATTTTATCTTCATAGTCTTGAGCTTCACAAAGCCCAACTCTGCCAAGAAGATCACCGATGACGTCAACAGGCCGAGCACGAGCAGTAGGAACGCGCCCTGCAGTTCATCCAGGGACAAGCTCGACATCGACGCCTGCGGGGCACCAAAGTCTCGTTAGTTGGTACAGGGGACTAGCTCGACACCGACACCTGCGAGGTATGTGAGTCCCCTTAGTCCTACAGTGGGTGAGGTGAGAATCATTCCAATGAGTGAGGAGAGATTCACCCAAGTGGGTAAGGAGATAGTTATCATTAAAATGATAAAAAATAAGAACAATATAATCGGCAATAAAAAAATACGCAAAGTGCAAAATACATGCGTTATTTACGTTAAAAATGCACCATCAAATAAAAAAACGCCGTATGTGGTGCTCATAGGATGGTAGGTGATTCGGCCACAAAGTGAAAGAGAAAATTTCGAAAGATAGCTTGTCAATTATTCCATTCTGTATGTCAACTTCGGTGAAGCCATGGAAGATTAGTGCGTTATACTGTACCATAAAATAAACTACACAATTTCAAACCATCAATGAACCACTGCCATATTCAATGGCACCGAAATAATTTTTCCATTCCCCGTCTTATTGCAAACGATGTAACTCACAATGCCTTGCACGATGACGTCGGTTTTTGCAAAGTGATTTCTGTAGAGTTTACCGACAATGCCGGCTTCAACGAGTCTCTGCAGAGTGCTGGAAATGGTTTCGGTGTACGGAGTGTACTTGGGCAGAAACCAAGCGAGGTGCCCGGAATATATCTGCGAACGGAACGTTAGATTAAAATAAGGAATGCTTTGTGTTCATCAAATTCTGTGTCAAGTTTCATGCAAATATACGTTTATTTACAAGACGGGGAAGTCATCTCACCTGTTCTTTGAGAATATATGTTTGTTCTCTGACTCCATACTTCATCCGCAACCTCATCAGGTAGGAATAGCCATCGATGAGAGCGTGAGTTCCATTCTCAACCATCTCCATGCAAGGGTCGTAGTAGAGACCTTTCAAAAAGCGAATAAGCATCACTTCTCTTATCCTGCGCTGCCAATGGCTTACACCATGAGGTGAACCACCCCTTCCTTAACTATGCTACTACCAGGATAAGTAATTACAACAATTATAACAACAGTAACCAAAAAGCCAGAGGCAGCTGAGGATCTTTGCAATCCAAAGTTCTAAGTCATCACACTCGCACTATTCAGTGGGACACTTCATTCACTATTCGTCCATTACAGCCGATCTTACCGGAATTCATTAGAGAACGTCATATTTTAACGATTTCAAAGCCATTGCATTCGGAATGCATAAAATTGTGCATATTGTTATTACATTGAATTAATGCCGCTCACTGCCCCTGCTGTCTAGGCGTCGATGCAACGCCAACGAGTGACTAATAAGGTTCAAAACGGTCTTTCCGGCACTACCTTTGTACTAGCTGATGCAGTAGTGCGACGCACTTATTGTACTTTTTAAACAGGCAAAGACTTTGATACATTATTTTTGTTCATAATCCTGATTAATTTTCACCTCCTAGTTGGTCCAGGGACCAACAAATATGAAAACTTGAATGTTTTCATATTTGCGTTAGCTTTCTTGTGTTGTTGATTCTGTTTAATACATACACCTATGCATCTACATATAGTACATACACCTATATGGCAGTGAGCCGGAGCCCGGATGGCTCTCCAAGCTCTTTGTTCCGTACACGCGCACCTTAATCAATTGAATATACATCCAAATGTACAGATAATGTCAATATATGTGCTGCTTAGTGATTCCATCATTTGACAAAGTGCTGCAAAGCTGTTAAAATATCCGTTGCGTATAACCACGAATAAGCATGGATAAACACTAAATTACGTAAATCCTTTGGAATTTAGATCAACTAAGGGTGGGTCTCCTCTTAAATGTATCTCCAAAATTGAAGGACTGATCTTTCTTAAACTTCTTATACATGTGTAAATCACCAAAAGTAAAACATTTTGCTCCAATGAATTTATTGAAAAATATGAAAGAAAACGTGAAATGCGTAAAAAACGGCAAAAAGGGGGCCATTTATAAATCTAAAAAATTCTCCTTCAATTCACGCGCTACAACACTGAGAGGCATATCATTCGATTCGTAAAAAAAATATCCATCAACTATAGAAGCCCATTTTTTAATTTTTAATTTTATTTTATTTTCGTAAGTGCCGTTTCGTTTTTATTTTTTTTCGTTTATTCCCCATGTTTCTCTCATCCCACTAGTTTTTTCAACGCATAATCCAAACCGTGTAGGTACAAATCGGGAAAAAAGCTAACAAATTCGCTAGATATGGTTTTTACGAATCGAAAATGTGTCTCTAAATGCGGTAGCTTGAAAATCATAGGCATAGATAGATTTTTAAGATGGCATACTTTAGAAAGTTTGATTGTTCAGGGAGCCAAATAAATGAAATTTATTGAAGAAAAGAAGACGATGATAAACGATTATTTTATAAAAATTCATAAGGGCCTCAAGGAAAAATCATGACAGCTAGAACCTTGGGGTTTTGAGTTTTTTGCCTCAGATTTGTAATAATTATCCCTACGAAATGATATTAAAAGCTTAGAAAACGTAATTTCTTCGAGTTTGAAAGGATACCCCATGCACCACTTGAGTGACTACTGATATAATCCTTGAATTTAAAATTTACGGTCCATTTATTTTGGCCGAAACTAAATCTCGACGTCGCCTCTGAATAAAAAGAAACATTGTGACATTGAAGACCAAAATCAATTTCACTTCACTAAATAGCGCGTAAAATATACTTCGAGTGATTCGTGTAATCAAAGCTCAACATGGTCTGTATGCTGTTGGCATTGTAGTTATTTAACTGTAGTAGGTCTGCCAATAAATTATTCTTCGTCAATGCAGATCTAATTTGAAGGACTAAAGACTGAAACAACTGCTAGTAAACAAAGGATTAATCGTCGTAAAAATTTCGTACATGAAGACCTAATAACTAAAGGTAACGTCTTTAAACAATAGGTGATTAGACATAAAACACATTACATCAATTATTTTTAATATTATTCGTACCTATATGGGCCTGGTAAGAGCAGTTGTCGTCAGCAGACAAACGGTTTAACAGTTTTCATGTTATATGAACATAATCAGCGCCACTAACCAAATGGAACCAGGTCAAGCTTGTTCCCGAGCCTGCGCAATACGTTGTTAGTGGAAGACTTCAGAGCATCAGGAACGAATTCTCCGTAGTCCAACATTGCGACTCTAGAAAGTATCGATATTATATTCTCATTATATTATTAGTTTCATGAACAGGCTAACTACGGACATGAAAATATTTGATGAGCGACATGGACTTGATTGGTGTTCATGCTTAGTTGCTCACTGTTGCACGTTTAGTACGCACCTCAAACTTCGGAACCAATACAAACACAAAA